GCAAGCAAATTAGAATAACGATAATTTTGATCTACATATTCAAAGCTAATACCTGAGAAGAACCCGTGACCTCATCAATTCTCCGCTTTTGTATATTTCTGTGAACATTGAAAAGATCATCAAGGAACATTAGGGAACTGTAGAATTTCCATTTTGGCGTCACCGGCATGCTATCACTATTATAAGAAAGCTGAAAATATACAATTAAAAGGAAGGAGATTTGGATAAGTGGACAGTTCTCACCTTCTTTCTTGTTTTCACGTAAGTATCTTTCAGATTTTTCCATTGCTTTTCAACTTCTTCCGCTGAAAAATCGCGTGATAATGCTGTTATTAAACTGGCTATGAATACGAATGCATTGTGATAATGCAGAACATTGATGGATATCTGATAATGTTCGTATTGACTCGCAGATTTAGTAGATCTACAAACAAGCGAACAGATTTTATAGGCTCAAATAATAAGAATCCAATAAAGGCACACGATTTCGAAAAGACAGACCACAGCTCACAGAGCTTACTTAACGGGAAAGAAAAATGACTTTCTCAAGATTAGTATACAAATTTGAAGAACTGAAGAACTGTTGAAAGGTGTTCTAAGTTCTGGTTGCCCGCCGGAAGTCAGAGAGAAAAACCTGCTCATACTCCAGTGCTATCTGCAGCTCTTTTATATGTTTTCTTTCATATTCTGATACTTTAAACATTTAGAAACAAAAGAACTTACGAGTAAGCTCCGGTTCCAGTTGATTCTGCTGATTGATCAGATTGGTTACTTCCACAAATAATTCCTTACGCGATGGTCCTACAGTTTTCTCCCTTAATTGCAGCTCTCATAATAATTATAGATGACGACAAAAAAGAAACAACAAAACCTTTGACAATCCCATATTCCAGGCCTTAGGTAAACAGCGTCTATGATACTGAAGCGAATTTCATCGGTGATCATTGAGCCGTGATGCTGAAACATGTCTACAGAACGGGTACATTAAGAGGAACTAAGGCAAAAAAAAGTTGAGAGGAGGATTTCATGAGGACCTTTCGTAACCTCAAAATTAGAAAAAAAATTAAATCA